TTATCTGTGTACATTTTCTTTTACTTTTTGACTGTCTCCGCGTCGCGCATAAAGTACACAAGGGCGATAAACGGACGAACCGCGGGATAAGAGCTACGTTTTCTCTCTATCTCTATCTCTATCTTTCTCTTTCTATCTATCTTTCTCTCTCTCTCTCTCTCTCTTTTTTTTTTTTCTCAAAGCGATGTTTATGTTTCGTATAAGTAAACGCAGTTTTTCAACGGTTAACGTATGCTCGAGATCAAGGTGAATGTTATGTGTCTCTCGCGAGTTAATGCGCGAACAGAGCACACGGTAGACACTTCGGGAAGAAGTTATGATTCCGTTTCTCCTCCCCCTCCACCTTCCCTCCCGGCTCTCTCCGTTTTTCCGCGAGAAGCTTTTCCACGCGCGACGACGGAAGCCGAGAACTCGGCTTAAGGGGTTACTTATATGCCCATCCACCTCTCTCCCCATCTCCACCCCCCTTTCGAGCTTACAAAAATGTACACTCACTATTTACGATTTCTTTTTTCTTCTTTTTCTTTTTTTTTTTTTCTTATTCTTCTTATTCTTCTTCTTCTTCTTCTTCTTCTTCTTGTACTTCTTATTTTTATTCCTTTTTATTCTTACTCGTACGAGAATGAGAACGAAACCGTTTCTTTTTATTTGCACACGTTTACCCCTTTAAACTTTGACTTTTCTTTCTTTTTTTCTTTTACTTTTTCTTCTTCTTTTGGAAGATTTATTTTTCGAATGACAACGATGACGACGACGACAACGACGACTTCACATCGATGCTGAGCTATTCGATACATAATTTTATAATCATACAGTTGGATCTATGATGTAAATGAATATCGTATTATCGTTCTAGTAACATAATACGAAAGTCGTATTTCTATTTATTTATTCTGTGCATATATATATATATATTGTATTATATAATGACAATGACAGCAGTATTATAAACAACAAGACCATTAGATAGGATTTTCTATTTTATTATTTTTCTTTTTTTTTTTTTTTTTCTTTTTTTCTTTTAACTTTTTTCGTTAGCTCGATTATAAATATGCTCGTTCTAGATCTCTTATGCGCCTTATGATTGACACTCGAGGACTTTAGCTCGAGCACGTGTCATCTCCATTATATACATATACACATACATACATACAAATACACATACGTACGTACTATAATATACTATTGTATACTATACTATACTATACATACATACATATACCCGTCTCATTTTCCGGCTAAGACTTATTGCCCTTTTTAGTAGTGTTGTTCGAAGTGAGTTGCTTCATGAAAAAAGGGCGCCTGCTCCGTACCTCTTTTCTATTTCCATCCCTCTTCGTGTATTCTCTCTTTTAAGAGAAACCGTCGTACCTTATAAGTACCTGTTTCTCTGTTTGTCCATCTATCCGTCCGTCCGTCTGTCTGTCTATTTCTATCTCTTTCTATCTCTTTTTGTCGGTTGGTTGGTTGGTGGTTCGAAAACATCAACTACACCTTACCCATCTATCTACCTGACGACCCAGGTAGTACGATTATCTCGAGACAAGCTGTGACCCGTGCGCGCGTGGCTTAACGCTTCGATGAAAGTCGAAAGAGGAAACAGCAATATACAAAAAAACCCATGCTTGTACTATCTCTTTCTTTCTCTCTCTCCCTCTCTTTATATGTATATATATATATATACACCTTAAGACCTTTTCTCGCAAACTTTTTGACTTTTAGCCATTCGGTAAATGCGTGAAATTGTTTGGGTTTCTAAACCTTTCTTTTCGGTCCCTTTCACAGATTATCCTTTTTCTATGGGACAAGAGGGTAGGTTTGTTTCGGTAATTATGTCGTTTAAGTTTACTGTCACCTACTGTATTTCTAAACACAAAAAAAAAAAAAAAAAAAAGAAAAAGAAAAAAACTATTGTAACCGATATCGAGTATCTAAAACCACAGTCGTAAAATATAATAAATATGTAACGAGTGAATGGGTATAGAAATCTCGATGAATTGGTAAGAAATATGATATAATATATCATTAATCATTATTCCCTCGATAATTTTGACGACTTTTAATTAAATACGTGATATTATTTTGCCTTTCTAAACTGTTTGATCTCATTAATAGATTATTCTTTTTTCCTTTGTGAGGGGGGATAGGGGAATGGCGACGAAGGCGGAAGAGGTGTCTCAGTAATTATGTCATTAAGTTTATCATAATCTCTCGTATTTCTAAACACAAAGGACTATTGTAATCAATAATCAAATATTTAACAGTTATAATTATAATGAAACATAGAAAACCGGGCTAGTCTTTAAATGGATATTGCAATTAGAATTATATCCATGAAAGCTCGATGAAACATAGTATATATATATATATATATATATATATATATATTTATTTATTTATTTATATATATATTTATATATATATATTTAAACACTTAACTGGTAAAATTTTTCCCGTATTTAAGATGTTCGATAAATGCGTGAAATTACATAGTTTTCTAAACCTTTCTCGGTGATTTTCACGGATTATCCTTTTTCTATGGGGGGATGCTTAAGCAAATTATGTCGTTAACTTTACCATAATACATTATCTTCTGCAATTTGTAACACACAAAAGTCTATAACCCTATACGTTTCGAGTATTTAAATCACAGTCGTTGTAAATATAATGAAATATAGAAAATCGAGTTTGTTTTAAAATCAACATAGTAATTAGAATTATTTGAAAATAATGATGAAACAAGAAAGACGAGGAACGACTTTCTCTCTCTCTCTCTCTCTCTCTTTTTCTCTTTGTAGAATTGTCATTCCTAATTTTAACATGTTATCTCTAACAGGAAAGAGAGTCAGATTTTCCAAGTTCGCTTATCCCAAGAAACGACTAATTATCATTTAAACGATATTCTACGAAGTGCGAATACACCTCGTTGAACATCATATTATCTATCTTATTAGCGTTAGGTCTATAACCGCGCGAATTTTCTCTCTCTTTCTCTCTCTGTCTCTCTGTCTCTCTGTCTCTGTCTTTCTCTCTGTCTCCCTCTGTCCCTCTCTCTCTCTCTCTCTCTCTCTCTCTCTCTCTCTCTCTCTCTCTCTCTCTCTCTTTCTCTTTATCTCTTGGCAATGGACAATTTAACGGGGGCGTGAAAGAGGCGGGACGTACTTGTTAGTTACCGACGGACAAAAGAAAAAGGAAAGGAAAGCGTGGAAAAAAATGAAAAAAGAAAGAAAAAGAGAGGCAAATTAAAAAAGAAACGAAAGAAGGAAAAAGGAAGAGGAGAAAAGCGCGAAGCGACGGACAAAACAAATAAATAAATAAATGAGTAAATAAATAAATAAATAAATAAATAAATAAATAAATAAATAAATAAATAAATAAATAAATAAATAAAATTGATGTGTGTATGCGTGCTTGCGTGTTGAAGAAAATACATGAGTGACTCTCTTGTGTGTATGGAAGAAAAAAGGATAGTAATAAAGAAAAGAATAAAATTATAGGTATTAAAAAAAAATAAAAAAAAAAAAAAGAAGAAGAAACACGAAAGAAAAAAAGAAAGAAAGAAATAAAGAAGAGGCAGAAGAGAGAAAGGGTTGAAAAATGAGACACGAGACAGAAAAACAAGAAACATGAAAAAAATGAAAAAATACACGTTGGGATGGGAAAAAAAATTTGTGGCGTTATTATCTTTCGTTATTGGATCCTTGGCATTACCTATGCTTCGCGCCACTTAATTAGGCGTGCTTGCACTGGTAGTCCTTGCGCTTTTTCTAAACTTTCTCTCTTTCTCTCTCTTTGTCTCTGTTTCTCTTTGTCTTTATATATATATATGTACATTTATACATGCATACATACATACGTACATATATACATTAATACATTTATATATATATATATATCTTTTATCTTTTCGGCCTAAGCTTTTCGCTCCCTCGAAAACCCGACCGCTAGTACTCTACGTATTACTCGGCGCCCTTTGCTCGACCCTTCCGACTAGTAAAGTCCTCGATACTCTCTTTTTCTTTCTATCTCTATCTCTGTTTCTCTCTCACTCTCTCTCTCTCTCACTTTCTCTCTCTCTCTCTCTCTCTCTCTCTTATCCTTTTCCGTCTTTTTCTATCCCCCTGTATTCGCCGACTAGGACCCTTTAGCCTTTCGAACCTCGCGTAGTCTTCCAATCCCCACCCTCGGCCCCTCATCGTCCCCCTGACCCCTTAGCCCCACCCTTAGAACAAGAAGCATTTTAAGCCTTTGCATCCGCAGTAACGCGAGTTTTCGCTTTTGGTATGTTTCCAGAATAGCAGAATCCGGAGTCCGAGCATAAGGGAGGAGCCTGTGGAGCGCGCCGAATAAATGACGTAAATCCGAAGAACGGAAGCGCAACGTCACTCGCTAACTCGCAATTCTTCCCACCCTCTCTCTTTCTCTCTCTCTCTCTCTCTCTCTCTCTCTTTTATCTCTTTTGCTCTTGCTCTCTTTCTCTTTTTCTCTTTCTTTCTTTCTATCCAAATCCCTTCTCTCTATTCTCTTCCAGCTTCTCACAGGCCTTCGTCCTTCGACCCGACACGGATCGACCTACGAACCGGACCTTTGCTCCCCTCTCCTTCTACTTCTTCTTCTTTTTCTCCTCCTTTTCCTCTCTATTCTACCCCACTACTCGCTTTTTAGCCTTTCACGTGCTTACCGTTCTCTCTCTCTCCCTCCCTCTTTCTCTTTCCCCCTCTCCCTTTTTCTCTTTATTTTTATTTCTTCTCAATATCGAAATCTCTTTCTCTTCTCTCTCTTTCTATCTGTCTGTATATACATATATATCTCCCTCTCTCTATCTGTTTTTATTTACGGATTTACAAAAGCAATATTTATTAAAATTCACCTCTCTCACTCGCTCACTTGATCTCCTATCGAGAGAGCGCGCGTCTAAATATCGCTCTTCCAAATCGGATCGCTATCTCTCCAATCTTTTTTATAACTTTCGATTCCTCCTGACCGACCTTCCTTTCCAGTAGACTCGACACGAGACACGCGTTGGCTTGAAACCGGCTTGAAGGACATCACCAGCGGCTTTTTGAGACACGTATACATACAGTACATGCCACTACATCGACAGCAGCAGCAGCAGCAGCAGCAGCAGCAGCAACAGGAGCAGTAGCAGCACCAGTAGCAGCACCAGTAGCAGCAGCAACAGCAGCAGCAACAGCAGCAGCAGCAGCAGCAGCAGCAATAGCAGCAGCAGCAGCAGCAGAAGCAGCAGTATCGCCAACAGCAGACTGTGTAAAAAGCAACGATCGCGCCTACAGAACAACGACAACATCGACAACATCGACACAACAACAACAACAACAACAACAACAACAACAACAACCATCATTGTTGTTTCCGTCTTCGTCGACGGTTAGAGAGCTTCGAAGGCTTCCACAAGCTTTGCTCGTTCGAAAGGAGAAGAGTTACGGAGTCGAGAGTAGAGAAGGAGGAGGGTGTAAGGAAAGGAAAAGGAGAGAAAGGAGTTCGTGGAGCTTGGAGAGAGAGGAAAAGGCCTTTTAAAGGAACAAAATAACGGAGTGATCGGCTCCATCGTTCTTTCTTCATCTTTGTCTTCTACACCAACACCACCACTACTACTACTACTACTACTACTACTACTACTACTACTACTACTACTACTACTACTACTACTACTACTACTACTACTACTACTATTACTACTATTACTACTACGACTACTACTACACTACTACTACTACTACTTGTATTACTTCTTTGGACAAGTCCGAGATCTTCCGTGAGTCAACGAGTATCAACAGCTGTAAGACAGCAACGGCACGTACAAGTAGTAGAGAAACGCACACGCTTTACGTTTTTGGAGCTTCCATCAAAAAGTAATAAGAAAGTGAACAAATAAACAAGCAAACGGAAAAAAAGTACTAATATAAAGATCAACGGCAACAACGAAAAACGGAGTGGTGTACGGCCTTAGAAGAAAGCTTTCTCTCTCTTTCTCTCTCTTTCTCTCTCTCTCTCTCTCTCTCTAACTCTCTCTCTCTCTCTTTTTCTCTTTTTCTCTCTCTCTTTCTCTCTATCTCTATTTCTCTCTATCTTTTTCTCTTTCACTCCAATAACTCTGATATATCACCAGTTTAGCACTTCTCTCTATTTCGCCGCAAAATCTCTCTTCTAAAACCATCGCCATTGGCAGATCAACAACAACAATAGCAGCAGTAACAACAACAACAGCAACAGTAGTAGCAGCGCAACGATCAGTCTAGCTACTGTTTATTACGACTGATACAGACCGACCGGATCGATAACGAGAGTTAATAAAGCGCACGGGCCGTCGAGAACAAGCGCTTCGCGGTATTCGGAACGGGAATAAGGACGCGCAACGTCCTTCGGGATCATTCACGGTTATCCCGTTAACGGGATCGAGTCGGGGAAAAAAAGTTCGCGATAATAATAGACGAGCCACGCCATTCGTTTTTTGTTCAAGAAGAATTATCGATAAAGGAAGGAGGAAAGAAATATAGATAAAAAAAGAAAGAAAAAACAGCAACAACAACAACAACAACAACAACAATAATAATAATAATAACAATAGAAAGTATTTCTATTCGTCGTTTCTACAAAAAGGTACGAGAAAGGGGTGGTTCGTAGTAAGTACGCAACGACACGCGGCAACTATTGCGATTCCGTGCACGAGGTCCGAGAGAAAGAGAAGGGTGTGATTGGATTCCTTGCTTGTGTCTATTTCTCCGTGTGCGTCCGTGCGTGCGTGTGTGTGTGTTTGTTTGTTTGTTTGTGTGTGCGTTTGTGAGAGGTGTATTTGTTTCTGCGTAAGAAGGCTGCGAGAGAGAATTTGAAAGACCTCGATTCACGAAATCCATCTAGGTGCCGCGTGCTCGAAGGCTCTCGCTAAAGAGAAAGAAGGAAGAGAAAAAGCGTGTGTGAGTGTGTGTATATATATATACACGCACATACACACATATATATATATATATATATATATATTATATATATATATATATCTCATTGACAAAAGATCGATCGACGCGAGTGAACGCAAGAAGAAGAAAAGAAGGGAAAGATAGAAAATAAATAAATAAATAAAGAAAGAAAGAAAGAATAATAAATAAAAAGAAGGAAGCTTCAACAACAACAACAACGAGAACAACTTCTTGTTCTTCGTCGCTCTAGCCAAGCGTTACTATTACTACTACTACTACTACTACTATACTACTACCATCACCACCACCACTACTTCTTCTTCTTCTTCTTCTTCTTCTTCTTCTCCTTCATCTTTTTCTTCTTCTCGCTTGAAACAGCGAGACAGACAAAGACAGAGAGAGAAAGTAAGAAAGTAAGAAAGAAAGACAGAAAGAGAGAGAGATACTAGTCTCTCGTACGTTCTTCTTGGACTGGGAGAATGGCAATGGTCAACATGAATAACCTACTCAATGGCAAGGACTCGCGGTGGCTACAGCTCGAGGTTTGCAGAGAGTTTCAACGCAACAAGTGTACCAGGCCCGACACGGAGTGCAAATTCGCTCATCCACCAGCCAACGTCGAGGTGCAGAATGGACGGGTTACTGCTTGCTACGACAGTATCAAGGTAATTAAACACCCAACCATTATATTTATATTCTAATTATTTCTAATCGTTGTTTTTACGAATTGTGACTTCCGACAATGATTCAAACAATTGTCGATATTACTCGTATTGTCATTATCTTCTTATATTTCCTTTATCATTATATTTTTTTTCTTTTTTCTTTTATAACGAGAACACATACGTTGCGTTCTAACGTAAAGTAATGTAAATCTAAACGGTAAAATTACGTTTCTATCTGGCATAATTATATTATACAAAGAAATAAGTCAGACGATAGAATTTGTTATAGGTAAAAAAAAATAAAAAAAAAGAAAAAAAAAAGAAAAAATTAAATAAATAAATTTTTATAAATCGTAGCGAGGGGATAAAAGAAAATTTTCACGCTTTTATACTATATTATTAGTCGACGATCTTATTTGCGTAAGAAATGCAAATATATATTATACGCGCGTAAATATATATATATATATATATATATATATATATATACATATATATATAATTATAGGTATATACATATATATAACGACGTGCACGATTAAATGGGGTGAGGTGGTAGGCAAAGATATGAGCAGGGTGTGGCTCTTTCTCTTTCTCTCTCTCTCTCTCTTTCTCTCTTTCCCCGTCTAAATGCCTTCTCTCGTGGATATTGAATGTGAAAATTGAATTTGCAGTTATTAATAGAGACAATTATTCAACGCCCGAGGACCGTCGTCGTCGTCGTCGTCATCGTCGACGACGACTCATCGACGGGGAGAGAAAGTCGTTCTTTTCGCGAGTTCGACGAATTGGACGGATGAGAGGGTGGGGGTGAGAGGATAGAGAAATGGGGTGACGAGGTGAACACAGAGGGTTGGGGTGAAAAAAAGACTTATATACTTGCCGCGTAAAAATCGCATATAATCTTTTATCTCGAGAAAGTTCTCGTAGGTTTGAAGGCTCGACGACGCAAATAGACCTTTTTCTCTGATTAAATAAGGGAACGTCGATCTCTATCATTCTTTTCTTTTCTCCACCTCCCGCCCACCCGCCCGCGGCCCCCTTCCATTTTTCTTTTTTCTTTTCTTCTTCTTCCTCTTTTTTTTCTTTTTTTTTTTTTTTTTTTTTAACCTTCGAATTATATATTCCTCGTCAAGGAATAAATCGATCTGAAGGAAGAGAGATTTACGTACGTCTTATATAAAGTGAGACAAGGGGACGGGGAATGGCGAATAAGGTGATATGGGGTAGACATGAACAGGGTAGGGGGAGAGGAGGCAAAAGTATTTAAGTGATTCGAAAATAAATCAATTAATCTTTCTCGAAAAATTATTGTTCGATCGTCGGTCTTGTAATTATTACGATGTGGAAAGATAAAAAAAAAAAATAGTAATAATAGAACGAGCAATATGAGTTTTTAGATTATCTTCTGGAACTTTTGATCCAATCTGTACATTTATCAATGATGTAAATATATATATATATATATATATATATATATATATATATATATATATGTACGTATATTAATCTTTTATACATTTTGTTCGATACGTATTTCAATGAACGTCGAAATTTACGTAGAATACATATGTACTGTGTGATAAGTTAACGCGTTCTCAGATAGATACACAGATACATACATATATACATGCATGCATGCATGCATATATGCATGTATGTGTGTGCGTGCGTGTATATATATATATATATATATATATATATATATATATAGAAGGAGGTATGTACCACTTACGAATTGATCGAAGTTTAAGAGGAAGGAATTTGCTTCAACGACAATGGAGAAATTCCATAGTGTTTGGATTGACGCGTTTCATAACAATTCCATTATATTATTACGATGACGATGAACGAGAACGTATCTATCTAACATTTTCTCATATATCTATGTATAGATAGTGTAACGGAAGGTAATCGTTGAATTAGAATGCATATATATATATATATATATATCTTATCATAATTGTGAATACGTCGATGTATTCTAATCATTTAACGAATCGATTGCAATTTCTCTTTCGACGAATGAGGAAACTCTTACGGTTGATATGTAATATAATGTAATCACGTGTGCGCGTTTATTGGGCGGAGACGGAAGGTGGAGATAATTGTATTTCGAGATATATATATATATATATATATATATATATATATATATATATACATATATATTTGTTTTTTGCTGGGCCAAAAAGTTCATACGTGATTTTTAAATATCAATGACTCCTTTGACTAATTTTGTCTTTTTTTTCCTTTTAATTCTTAATAATAATTGACGAATGTTATTTATTCTACGTAAAAAAAAAAAATTACAAAGCTTCGAAAATTTTCCTTTTTTTCTCTTTCAAATAATTTTTACATTATGTAGGTGTATAGAATGCGTGTTTGTATATATATATATTTATATGTAGATATGAAATACAAGCTTACTAAGTACGATTGTACAGAATTTAGTTGATATCTGACGTAGTAATACGGATAAAGATAAAATCAGACTCTCTCGAAGTATCGTTTTTTTCCTCCTAGAAATCTCTTTCATCGAGAATATACACGTGTAGGTACACGCGCGCGGATATCGGCACGTACGATCAGAGTTCGACGCATTAAATTGTCCCTATTGTGTGTATGTGTGTATGTAAATGTGTGTGTGTGTGTGTGTGTGCATTATGTGTATGTGTATACGTATCTTAAGAGTCTTCTTCGCGATGAGCAAACGAGCGAACGCAAAGCGAGCGAGCCGAGCAATAACGGAAATAACGTTGGCGATCGTAGGACAAAACGTTATCTTTGTGAAAAAGAAAGACAAATTCTTGATATCGAGATAAGATAATCGAGAGATAGATAAATATATAACCAATGAGTTTATCTATTTCGCTTTCGTTCATTTTTTTTCTTTTTTTTTTTCCTTCTTCTTTTTTACGTCTTTCTTCGTTTTATTATCACCTTTTCTTTCCTTTTCTTTTCCTTTTTTTTTTTTCTATTATTATTATTGATTTTATTTTTTATCATCCTCTCCGTCATTTTTTATCTCCGATCGTATATTACGTACAAATCGTCGAGTTAAAAGTATATTATTATGATTTCGAAATTGATTCTTTCAATATACCTGATAATAGAAAAAATAAATTAATATAAAATAAAATGAAATAAAATGAAGAAGGTGAAAATAAAGAAATAGGGAAAAATAGACGCGAATAGGAATCGAAGAAGATCGCCGAGTTTCTCTCTCGTTGGTTCATACTCGTTGTCGTCTTCGTCGTCGTCGTCGTCGTCGACGTCGACGTCGACGTCGTTTAATTCTGGAAGCTATTAATGTCGTCGTATGGCTCGTCTGAAAGGCTCGCTTGTCCGTCGATCCACGACAGTCTCTTCTCGCACGTTTCTCTCTTTCTCACTCCTTTCTCTCTCTCTCTCTCTCTCTCTCTCTCTCTCTCTCTCTCTCTCTCTCTCACTTACTCACTCAATCTCTCGCGCGCGCAAGAATGGCAAAGAATGGCACTCGTTACGTTTAATCCGGCCAACGAAACAACCTCGCATTTGGAGTCGTACACACCGATTTATTTCATCCCACGCGACTTGTAACCCCCCCCCCCCCCCCCACCTCTGCCCTCCCCTCGTATCTCTCGTATGTGCAGAATGGTCTCTCTCTCTCTCTCTCTCTCTCTCACACACACACACACACACACATTCTCAATCTCTCTCTTTCTCTCTCTCTTTCTCTCTCTCTCTCTCTCTCTCTCTCTCTTTGCCTATCTGTTTTGTCTGTTTATATAGCCATTTAAAGAGAAGAAAATCAGTTTTGAAAATGGGCATTATTTGTATACTCTTTTTCTATATCTTTTTATTTTTGTGAAATAAAAGAATAAAGCCTATATTTATTAGAAAAGCTTATATTATGTATCGTTCGATTATTTTGTTGTGATAATTCACATAAATCTTCAGAGAGAGAGAGAGAGAGAGAGAGAGAGAGAGAGAGAGAAGTGAGAAGGAAAGGAAGACAGTTTGGATTTTGGTTATCTCGTCGCCGTTAAGTTCAACGAGAAGATATTTGGCAAAGCGATTCGTCGGTGTATAATAAAATATTCGATAAATTTCGACTAAAGTGTCATATTTACGTTCGTAATAGTTCGAGAAAAGGAATCTTTATTCTAAATATATTGGAGATCTGAGAACGAGCGAGGGAGAGTCGTTTAGGTATTTATGAGTACGAACGACAGCACATCGTGACTAAGAGAGAGAGAGAGAGAGAGAGGAGGGGGAGGGGGGAGAGACTGCGGATATATGAACAAAATTAATATTTTCTCTTGCCTTACTGTCGTAAATATTAATAAGCGTTACCCAATAAAAAGTGATATAAGAAAAAAAAAAAAAAAGAAAAAGAAAAAGAAGAAAGAAAGAAAGAAATAGAGAAATGAAGAATGTTGAACGAAATAAAACAAAAAAAAAGAAACAAAAGAAAAAAAGGAAAAATACAAAAAAAAAAAAAGAAAGAAAAAAAAGGAGAATGGTCGTAT